TTTTTTTTAGCGTACGGTTTCTTGTAAGAATTTAGCTACAAATAGTATTACACGGCTTTGAAATTGAGTTTCCAGAAGCATTAATGTAACAGAGTACCTCAGTGTAATATTGTTCGAGTTAACAACTCATCCTGACGACCTCAATATATTTTCACTGAGGATATATGGCTCGAAATAACGAGTACTTTGAATTAGAAAAATGATTATCTTATTTTTTTCCTATAATTGAACATTACCTCACTACTTTATTTCTTTTCCTTTAATCGGGCATGCCATATCGATACAAATCGGGACAGAAAATTTAAAAATCAAGGTCGACAGTTTTCCACAACGGCTGGGTGTTGGTTTCGTCCTCGGTGACCTACTGAGCTTGAAACGTAACCTTTGCAGCGGTGCGATGATGATGACGATTCTTCCCCCTCGACCGAGAGAACGAGTCAGGCTAGAATCATCTGGTGACGCAACATCGCCAACTAGCTGCGACAGCAGCGCACACTCTGCTAGAGAAAGTCATTACTTTGAGCACGTTCCACGTGGTAATGGAGTTTGTGGCCTTCAAAGTAAATTGTTTTCTGCGCACAGTGAATTCCTCGACGACGACAACCGCCGGCATAACCGCGGTCGTTGAATAGTCGAGGGAGAAGATTCACGCGGTTTCTTTCTAAATTTCGCACTCCGCCTCTTATGTTCGTTCGTGGCGCAGAACAAACGTCCTGTTCACACTAAATCGTTTCTGAAATTTCTCAAAATATGAATGAAAACTTAAAAGAACTTGAAGCTAAAAGAACTTGTAGGGTTGTAGGGTCTAAGTGGACAGCAAAAATAATAACTGAGATATCCATAACTAAGATGGATCAAGAGGGAAGAAAAGTTTAATACGTCACAATGTAACATATAAGTGCTTTTCCAACTGATATACCGTTATGATTTATTTCGCCATTAGTGGAAAATAAACACGTACAAATATTGCTCTAATATATTAAAACCTTTTATCAACAGATAGTCGTACATAAATTTTAACTAAAGTAGAAAATAAAAGTCGACGGCTTTTGCTTAAGACGAGACTGTGCGCGCGCGTTGGACCGTTTATTTACGTCGACCATTTTGTGGCGACGACGTGCGGCCATGTTGTTTTTACGATCATTCCACAAGCATACCCTTGCCGTGGTCTTTTGTGGCGAACAAACTTTCTCGTTTGTACTCCAACTCGGCGAGGTGAATCTTCACTGATGTTGGATATTTCTGTTATGTTACTGAGAATACGTCCAACCCTTAAAATCTAAAACTTCCCTGAAAAGAAATCGATCGTAAATTTTATCTTTCAGTCATTTAGATATTAGTAGATCATTGTAAATAACATGATATACATGTTATATCTTGGAATATCTACAAATTTCATGATTTTATAATTGGGGACTAAAGAAAGGAAATATTAACTTTCTTCTTGTACAAACAGATATTAGCTCTTTTTCTCGCAGGATAGCGATATTTGCATCTTTTTCAGATATCTCTACGATAGTGATTCTTAGCGTTACGTCGAGGATTGTTGATGGAGTTAAACGCTTCGACCACAAAGACTCGCGACCGAAGTATCCTGACCGAAATGGCGCGCGGTAACGACCTCTTCCACAATGCCGAAGTCGCTTTAACCATCCGGCACATCACGGCGACTAAACTGTTGTTAAACACGCTAGCGACACTAACGATGGCAACCAAGCTGCCATACAACGATCATACTTTCTGGACACGAAAGTTTGATAGAGCACAAACTAACTTCATCTAGACAAATGGATATGCACAAATGGATATCGCGAAAGATCACACGAGGAAGAACAAAAAATGTTAGAAGAAAGAAAAGGATACTTTAAATTTCTCTCTTAATTATTATGATGTTTCGTTACATGACGATCTAAAGTGACACTAGGCTACTGCGATTTATTTAATCTATTCCCTCGGCAAGTAGGAAATTAATTTTGAATATGATGTGAGCTTTTTCGTTACAATGTGTAGGCTAATTATGCTTACATCCTCGTTTAAATATCAGACCAGGGAAATAACCGGCATCTTGGGCGCAGTTAATTAACAGAAATCAAGAGCGTTATCGTCGAACGCTGAGTTATGGCTGGCAACCCAAACCCTAATTGGTCTTACGACTATCCTTTCCCTTTCCCTTTCTGGGTATCAAAAGCTCTGGTCACAGTTTGGCCGTCGGGAATTGTCTCGCTTCATCTCACATAACACCGATAATTTGCTATCGAGGCTACTTGAGATATTACTGTTGATTTATCTTGATTTTACATGCTTTTCACTTATTAAAGCTTATATATTGAAAATTCGGTCATGAGTTTTGCAAAGTCCGGATCCTTGTTTTGCGTATATGTGTGTGTGTGTGTGTGTGTGTATGTCTGACCATTCCGCGAAGGTAATTACGCGGCGGATTACAAGAGAAAGAAACCACGTAGGTCGGTAGAGGCGGTACAGTTGCTAGAGTAGTACGCCGCGACAATATAACGAAGTATAATAGCTACGCTACGCGATTATCGTCCTAATAAGTACAACGCGCACACGATGATGCAAGAACGCGTCTCTCTCACGAGCGAAAACGGAATAAGAATGTGAGAGACCGACGTAAAGCCCAAGCTCGCGCAAATTACGCGATTGGTCGAAGACCACAAACGGGAATTGGCGAAATATGGTGCTTGGTTTGTCCTTTCACGATGTTTGTCCTCTCTCTCTCTCTCTCTCTCTCTCTCTCTCTCTCTCTCTCTCTCTCTCTCTCTCTCTCTCTCTCTGCCTCCCCCCCTTTCTCTCTTAGTTGGGTCCCATAATGATGCACCACTCTGTGTCATTCGACATCGCTGTTTCGTCAGTGTTGCGCATTGCACTTGTAAGAGATCAATCGTGATTATTTGCACAGTGTAATGTCATTTAAGCATCGTCGTAGGAATTATATACCGGCACCCGTGCAATCAGTTGTTAATTACGAGTATTTTTGGCACAAGATATTGCGGTTCACTCAATACACATTTTGACATTTATGGATTACGGATAAGGAATCGCAAATGAACGCGTAATGCGATTATTATTTGGATCGCTCGCGATTACCGCGGACGATGGGATCTATTTCTGGACGCGAGGTGAAGCGATAAAGGACGGGCGTTTGGGATGGGAAAAAGGGGGTGCGTAATGGGATAATATCCGCTCGCGATGGCCCTTTTACCCTTTAACGATGATTCCTCGGTTTCCAGCAAATTGCGCGGGAGAGGGGCCCGACTGATGGGCGACGAGACGAAGAGTTACTCGGTCCAATCTCATTTCGGGTAGAAATACATCAGATCATTCTTTAGTACATTCACGATAAATGAAGAGGATTGACTTGTGTTTCTGATTCTTTCTTCTATACGAGGAGATGACCAACTGAAACCGAACTTATATCTACCGCAATAACCAGTTTCACCGATTGAACACATATTTCAGACATTTTGTCCTAAATCTGGCAGATAATAGTGATGATAAACATAGATCTCGCATAAATCTCACATATATAAATTTGCGTGTTTCGACTATAAGTGCTCCCTCCGTTCCTTTAGTGAATTTTCATGCTATTTTCTATACGGAGAAACTGTGTCTCGGCCGGTGTAACCGACGTACACGTTGCACGACGTCCGTGCGTTCGTGCAAACATCGCTCAAATACACGCGATCCTTCAATCGGATTCATGCGAGGCGTAATAAGAGGGCCCCTCGTAAATGTATTACTCGCGTTATTTAACAGTGAATCAAAGTTAGAAATGTAGACGATTATTATAAGCTTGTAATATATCTCTCCATCGCTTATTTCAAAATTGCGTATGTTCGAACAAAGATTCGCGTTGGATTACGCTAATAAGTAAGTCGACTATTATGCTTCTCGTATTTATCCGCAGGCTTGCCATGATGTAGTTCCACGATTCATGAAGGAAAGGGAAAGTTAGGTAATCTGGTCGAGATTAAATTAATCAGAAATGAATCTTGAAAAATGCGCAACCACGTTGAGACCACAAATACACACACACACACGATTGGAAGAGCAAGGTTCGCGGCGATTTGTTGTCGCTAGACGCAAGACCGCAAAGGGTTAGTTAATCCATTAGCGAAATCGTCGCATGAGAGTTGAGGGCGGCGCGGTTTGCTTTTGCGATACTTACCCGCTATACAGGTTGCGTATCTAGCGGCCGGTTCTCTCTCTGCTCCTTTATTGGTCTCGTGAAATTGATAATATCGTGTACTTTCTCGTTACATATGCAAATCAATGCTCGTATGCGGCATTTAGTGTGATTTTGTGTTACTTGCGCGCTATTACTACGCGCAGATAAATGCTTAATGACTCTGATAGCCGCCGATCGACCGTAATAGAAGGCGGAACAACGAAGGGTATCGAGCGGATGGATATGAAACGATGTCCGACGAGCATAAATTACATACAAATTACGAGATATCGTCCTTCGAAAACTTTAGCCATCTGTCGCGGGTTCCGATTATGTCATTAACGTTACAGCGACACGGATACATGAATAATGAAGATCGATGAAATTTAACTACCACCACCACCACCACTCTTCTTTGGATTTCGCATGTATTATAGATTTCACGCGATGGTCATCGCGGTGCTATTGCGGTATTATGTATTAAACAAAATAATTTAATTGGCATGTCGAAATCGATTCTTACAATAGTGAAGTAATAAGTCAAAATAGTATATACAACGGTTTGCTCCACATAAAGCAAGCTTCGAGTCCCCGGCGATGTACAGAGTGCGTTCTATTTTTTATACATATTTAGCTACGATGTTAATAATGTCAGTACTTTATTTAATTTAATCGCTCCTACCTTCGGAATACGTACAATGGGTGATGCGTTAACGTGGTGCGCGACAGAATGTTCAAAAGTGTCGGCAGTGTCTGAAGCATCATTTATCAGTGTTCCTCTATTTGTCTATCGTCTTCTTCTTTTTCTATGCAGTGGCTGGAGCATTTCCGAGGAGGATCGGTCATCCTTATCAGAACCGGACACCACCGAAGAGAAAGAAGCCGAGGACAAGTTTCACGAGGCTGCAAATCGCGGAGTTGGAAAAGCGCTTTCATAAACAGAAATACTTAGCCTCCGCCGAACGGGCGGCGTTGGCGAAGTCGTTGAAGATGACAGATGCCCAAGTGAAGACTTGGTTTCAAAACAGGCGGACGAAATGGAGGTGAGCTTATTAAAGATATCTCAGTATTGAATTAGAGCAGTGAGATGCTACTGATATGGCCAGAGTGTCTAGTTATTCAGTCGTCCTGATGTATATATCATACATCATTAGCAGCGGTGTTGCTAAACAGTGGTAGCGTTTATAAAAGGACAACGACTCGTCGTCGTCGGAAATCGTTGTCTCTTCAGGGCAACTCATTTCTCGAAAGAAGGGAAGAAAATGTAAGCTAGAAACTGCGCCCGGAATGTTAATAGCGGGTTAGTCGCAGGCTGACGCGTATATCTGTAAACTCATTGGCAGTCAAATGTATTGGAGTCTCTTCAAGATAAGAAAGGACGAAAACACGTCATTTAGATAAAAAGGGGGGGGCTCGTTCTCCGTGGCGCGCGGAATCCCCCGATATCGCGGCGTCTCGACGGCGACGAGACGGACTCTGGCGACGACATTCTCCAAGGAGTGTACGATATACACACTTGCCGTACCCTGTCCTCGCCACTCTTCTTTTCCGTTCCACTTTACGTTCCTCAAAGTTTTTAAAATCGTCGTCGCGTTATATGGAGTCCTTGGATTCGTTCTACGAAGCATCGCGATAGAGCGATAAACTCGCGAAGGAGTTTGGGATGGAACGATGATAGTTTCGGGACGAAACAAGCGATCGGTCGGCAGCCTCGTGTCCGAAGTTGTGCTCGTTCTGTGCGCCTCCAATTCGCTTCTCTGCATCAGCGAAGAAACGATTTATCGAAGGTTATTCCTTGATTCGGTATCAATACATTGTAGATTTATCGTTTGTACAGCAAATTATCCAATTTTGCGGTCGACGCAGAGTATTCGTGTGGATTTTGGAGAAACCACCTATATAAATATAAATATATAAATATAAATATTTGTTTGTTGAAGTTGCCTCGCACACCTATAGAGATTACCGAGCAGCTTCTCGTCGTCGCGAAAAAGAGCAGATGGAAAATTCAATTTGCTATCCGACGACACGCGTTATCTATCTCGCGATATGCTTGGAAATGTTATCGCTCTGACAGATACATTTGTCTCTAGAACGTTCCGACGAGTTAACTTCATGCCGGAGTGACAAGTACATCATTTTTAATTAAAGATACACGCACGACAGGGTAATCATGTGCGCGATCAATAACGCGTCACCGCGCGCGCGACAAACTTTTTCTTTTTCGAGTTACGGTACACGCTACGAGGAAATAGGAATCGGGAATGAACGAAGAGCTTCCATTCTTTCGGGATTTTGTCCACCGATAAGTTTCACTCGAGCGTAACGTCTCTCGCATTCTTTCAATATATCACCACTTTAGATTCAAACGGTTCAAGTTTCGGACGAGTTTCAACCTTGAAAATATTCGAATCTCCACAGGACTTCGAACTGTATTCAATTAACATTGTTTGAACCGCGAACCTCCCTCATTCGAGTCTAAGCAAATTCGACGTAACAAAGTATCACGTATGGACGAGCACGCGAATTGGAGCATGTATAATCGTCGTAACGTACACTCGTGTGTGTATGACGCAGTGCGGTCCACCCGCGTGCAGCTGCGTTTAAAATAACGAGATGACTGGTAGGCACAGATGAGATAACTCGGACTCAATAATTCAGGTACCTAACAGCTTAGCTCTGTCCCCGTACATAATGTAGTCTCTACCCAACCGTCGCCCGCGTACCCATCCCCGCCTCTCTCGGTCCCCAACTACCCTCTGCTTTGACTGCCAATCCTCCGCGCCCCGTCACCTCTTTCAGTCTCTAAACCTTCTCCTTCGCAAGAGAGAGCTTCTTGGCTTTTAAACTGTCAAACGTTCGAATCCGTTGGCTGAATCGTTCCGATCTCTGCCGTCGAGGCCGGGTCGGGCCAACCCCACCGATTCGCCTCGTTAAACATTCATCTGTTACAGTGTGTAGGACCAAGTGGGTAACCGTTCGAACACGATTCGGCAGGCAAACGATATATCGCGCGGGGGCGCGTAATATAGCAGCGGATAGTATAAAAAATCAATCGGTATTACGCGGTACCACACGAGTCGCAAATTGGTTAGAGTTTCATCGAGGATCGAATGCTAACAATGAATACACACCATTGTGACCAGCAGAGACGTGACGTTGGTGCAAGTAAACATTTGGGTTACATAAATAAATAAACAGGAACGATATATTAAATACTCGGAACGTTTGAAATGACGTTAAAGAAGAGACGTACTCTCTGCAATTCAACGATTGGTACATAAAGTGTCCCATAATAATTGGAATGTAGAAACCAATCACCGTATCGAACTAATAGAGTACCCGAATCAAAACTTTTATAACTTTTTTCGTTTCGTAGAAATTGAGATGACGCATCGTTCTTGAATTATACAATGTTGTAGCAGACGAAATTCGGCTAATGAGAGATGATCAGATCGGAACATGTATGCGTTGGTCCAGCGAAACGATGCATGTATCCCGATCGCCTCGATTATTGGTCGAATTTCCTTCGCTAAAAAATTTCGTAACTCAAAAATGGCGTGTCGTCTAAATTTGTGCAAAAGCAAAAATTGCTCCGGTTGGTCCAGAAAGACCGTGTGGCGGAACTTTCAAGTGATCGTTACAAGATTCTCCGTGTACATAGAGCAGCTACCGCAAACAAATTTCGTTGGTAAACGAAATATAACGGATTAATTAAACAGAAAGAGTCACAATTTTCGCTCTTACTCCTGGGCCGGACGAACTCTATACCGAGATGTAAAGCGTGCGCTAAAGTATAAAGATAAGAGTAATGTGTCCCAGGTTGCGAGAGAATATGGTTATATGCCGGCCGCAGCGAATGGGGCGAGGCTGGCTGCGTCGGGGCTGCAAAATGTAATCGGCACGGTGTCGTCAATTATTAATCGCTAACCGCGTTAATTACTTGCAACGGCGTAGGTGCACCTGTCACTGGCGCAATGGCGTAGCCGCAGTGGATTTCAGAGCGGTGGGGGAACGTGAGTGAAATTCAATTGCGCGGTGCTAATAAAAGCGTCGTCAACGCGCGCTAAATCTTGCCCGTTTCACTTTGGATAGTGTTGCTCTTTCGAACTGGTGCTTGTTGATAAACGATTCATGCTGTGCAGACGACGTAATTTAACTTAGAACTTATTCAGAATTCTGTCTGTGATTTGTATACGAAATGCGTTACAGTAACGCACGATAATCAACTGACCCAAACTGGTTAGATTAAACCTTGATTATCAGACCAAGCTTCTTCTTAAAAAGGAAAAGAAAAGAAAGAGAAGGTAAACGCCGATATGAATTATATTTTTGTTCATCGCACCCATGTCGTTTTGACGTTGCAAAAGTTGCATTACGTATTAGTACAGTGTGTCTAGAAAAACGTATGAAAGTTGAAGAGACAAAACGGTGGGAATTACGGTGAAGTAGGTCAAAGTTGTTCACTAAAAGGTGACTTTTGGGAATCAGAAAGTAAATTTCGAAGGCAGCGAGTAGTTGTCGCTGTCGGTACCATTGGGTACAATCGTTCTCTCGTTATGTCCAGGTATTGAGTGAAGAAAATTACAGGAAGTTCGAATCAAATCGTCTTGCTCAACTCGTAACCAAAAAGGTAGGCAAAAAGAGGGTCAACGGGATGGTACCTGCGTCGCGATAGGCCGGAACGCGGTGTAATTCGTGAGGAGACACGAGACGAGCGCCACCGGTCTTTAGAGAGACGTTCACAGGAGATATACAGAGAAAAACCAGTTTCAGGAAATTATAACAATCACCGCCGTTATCGGGAAAGGTCAGAATCAACTGCGTCCAATTTCTTTAGTTCTTGCTGGTCGCGAGATTCGTCGACGAAATAAGTAGCAGAAAAATAACTCTGATAAATTCAGACCTTGCAATATTTATTCTTTCTCTGGATACTGACATTTTGTTTTGTTAGCTACGATACAACTTTTTTCCTTCTTCCAGATTATTGTTAGGAGAATTCTCAATTATTTTTCGAATAAATTCAAATTTATCGAAATTAATTTTCCTCAACTTTTCATCGACCTTCATTATTAGGCTACGTCCAAATATTAAAACAATTGTCTTAATGAATGATGACATATAAAACCAAACTTTGTCGCGTGTTTGCTGTGCGGTCGTGCGCGCAAGCTCTATCGACCTAACCAACCAACCAACGAGAGTCGGCCATTTTGCGGCACCCTAATAGACTTAGCGCTAGAAAACAGACGTCGCGCGAGCCACCCTGTGGCAAACTGGTGGCTCCGGTTTAGTGACGAATTGAATTAACTTTATTACATCCGTCTTCTCCCTCCTCCCTCTAACTTTCTATCTCCCTCTCTCTTTCTCTCTCTGTCTCTCTCTCTCTCTCTCTCTCTCTCTTCCGTTTTCCGCCCAACGACTGCTATTCTATTTTTGTCATCTTTTATTTCATCTTGTTTCCACTGTGCCGTTTTAAGTTGATCCCGATCAACGAGCACAGATCGTTCGTAGCGTAAATATTTCGGGTGAATAAACAATTCAGTTGCAGCAGTTTGAAATATAAAATTAGATAATACAATAAATATTATTTTGCCTTCATGTCTCTCCTTAATGTCTAAACTGATCGGAAAGTCCACAGGTATTGCAAATCGGTCGAACAGTTCAATTACCAGTTACATTTAAACTGTAAAAATTTAAATGCGAGCTCAAAGTGTTGCAACAAAGTATTCAACTTACTTCTTGTACGAGAAGATGTTTAACAGAACAACGGGCGCTCAATTCTGTTCCAGGCGGCAGACAGCAGAGGAAAGGGAGGCCGAGAGGCAAGCCGCGAATCGGCTGATGTTGTCTCTGCAGGCCGAGGCTCTCACCAAGGTGACATATCCAACGACAGGTATATCTGGACATCCAGGAAGCGCACCGGTGTCCAGTTTAGATACAAGGCAACAGACGTCGACAGCTCTGACCCATCCGGCGGTGGGCCAATGGGCTTCCCCTTATGGGCCACCGCAGCCACTCGCCGAACCAATCTGCTGAAGCGTTCGTGACGATCCACGGCACGACTTGAGAGACTCTCGCCGAATTAATCGTCTTCAGCGTGCATCTTTGTTACGTGTCCTTTCTTATGAAAAGATCTCGCATCGAAAATCACGTTGCCGAATGCATTGCAATCGCAAGAATGCATGCCTTTTCCCTCCCTTCGCTTCGCGCGATTTAAGGCGCAGAAATGAATCGTGAGTCGCAAAACAATTTTGATCCCTTTCGAAGTTTATCTTCGCACGACGCTATAGAGTAGACGCATCCCAATGTGAGCGCGACCGATTAAGGAATATCGTTAAATGATTCAACATCTGTGCTGAATAGAGACGTTGATTTTGTTACACATACACACACGAATGTGCGCACGGGCATTTGTGTTTCTAGATACCACCGAGTGAAATTATTCTTTAAGGGAATTATCAATCGGCAAGTTTACCGTTGTTAACACGAAAATTTATGATTTATTTTCGTAGATACCGACTAGTCTCGTAAGACGAGCGAAATAACAGCTTTCTCAGTGCGAATTGTTTTCGACTTGATATTTCACGCTCAGCACTTTTATGATGAATGCCCCGACAGTTCCGTCATATCACGAAAATCCGTTCATTGTGAAAAGTATTAGTCTTTTAAATCTGCGCAATACACACGCTTACAATTATATTAACCGTCGAGCACTGATTTCAACGTAACTTCCTTTTAATTTGCTTCGCAAACTAGAGAACAAAGAACACTTACATACGAATCGGTCATAAGATAATATTATAGTGAACAGATTTTTTAGAATAATAATTACGAATCGTAGGCTACTAGTATTGCCTTCTTTCTGCCTTATGATATTCAGGCTATCACCATCATCACGAACACGAACGTCCTAAAGGAAAAAAAAAGGAGCACCGCGAAATCAATTATAAATTGCCTTACACAGCACGTACTCCCACAATTGTATTTATTAGCCAACGGCTCAAGGTTTTATTGCCATATGATCGTAACGTTTAAAAAGAGTGATTAACGTGCGACCAAGCGGTATCACACGACGCTAATAATAGTCGTGAATTTATCATGTACGAATAATCGAGGGCGCATTAAAAGCGTCCGATTTTTCTTCTCGAAATGGGGATAATCATCGCCGATTAGCTCCGGTTGACGCGACATTATCGACACGTACGTGTCGATCTTTCAATCGTGACGGAATAGAGTCCCGGAGATAAGAGAGGCTCTCCGAACGTTATTTCCAGATCTCGCCTTAATAGGTCGGTTGTTCGATAATGTCTCTTCGCAACTGACATACTCGATCTTTTCTACCAAATCGAAGAGACGGACGCACGAGAGAAGTTCGATTCAATTCGATCATAAATGTTACTCCTGCGGTGTGGCATAGGTGCACATTTCTATCCGTTTGAAGAGTGAGCCAGTGTACATATTTCTTCAGTTTCCAATTTTAGAAGTTTTGGAATATATACATGTTCTAAAATCCAAAAACCCCCGCAAAACCCTCGACTGTATATTTTATCCTTTCGTCGTTGATATATCGGTTAATCGATGTAGTTAATGTGCCATTTTTAAATATTTACATATTCTCTAACTTTTATAACTAAAAGCTAAAGAAATAGATATTGGCTCTTATTCCTCCATTAAGTATAAATATTATTTCGTTAAAACTTAATCTCTCTTTTGCTCTTTCTCTCTATAAATTATCTAATATTTTTCTTTAAATACTTATTAAATAGAGAAAAAACTCAAAGTCATGATTTTATACATGTCTTTGTTACAACAATGTTTCTAAAAGTACTTATTACATTATTCGCGAGAGAAATCGCATTCGCGTCAAATACAGCGTCGCTAATTTTACCGATACTAAAATATGTGAACATCTTTCGACACCAACCGTCTTCCGAAATAGAAAATACAATTTACTGGTTTAAAAATAATCGCACAGCACCGACATATGGTTGACCACGCGCTTCTAAATATTCGATATGTTTTGTCGAATCACTAATGCGTTCCTGAATTTGGCGAAGATCGTACGCGAACATCGCAGGATTAACTCGAAGAAATGAAGAAATAATTTATCATCGTAAGTACGAAAACACAGACCCGTATTGACGTCTTAAATGAGCCTAACGGAGAGAATACAAGCAACGCGACATATCTGTGTACATATTAGGCGTTAGAGTATTGTAATTAGGCTGTACTTGTACGATACGAAATAATGGTATACGCAAAAGTGCTGTCGTGCCAACGCACATATCGACGGCGTACGTTCCCTTTAATTGTTACGAATACGTCCTGTATATACATGTGTGTGTCTATATGCATGTATATGTGTATATACATGTATATATACATGTATATTTCTTCGTGCGAGCTGCAACACGGAAAAATGCAATCAAGATTATATTATCCCGGAATATTATTATATACAAGGTGCCTCATAATGCTCGTCTAAATGTATACCACTGTATTCCTCAACCAAAATGGAGCAACTGTTCTTTTTCATAAAAATTATGATAATGCACCATTTTCTTAGCTATTTAATTCTTTAACAAACAGGAGTCGAGACCGAATCACACACCGAATCGCCTCGATACTCATTAGGTGTACGCTTATACGCAAATTCCGACCGTCTCTCATTGGTCTTCGCTCGTTTGCTAAAAAATTGAATGGCTAAGGAATTATCTGAATTTCTGCAAAACCGAAATGTTGCTCCAGTTTGGCCTAGAAAGGACGTGGTATACTTTTTAAGCAATTATTACGAGACACTCCGTATGTATGTGTGTGCGTGTGTGTATGTATATTGCTATCGCACACACTACAATCGTCGTCATCGTCGTTATCATCACCACAAGTATGAAATTTTAAATATAATTTTAAGTTACATTAAGTTATAATTATTATTAATAGTAAACGATGTGATGTTATGTAAGTATATACGTGTAACACGTTGTATATACGGAGAAAAGAATCGAAATGCATATAAAATAATTTAACTGCTATACACACACATTTCTCGATTTGAAACTACGTGATTTCCTTGCGGGTGTGATTCCTGCTGATGGATCACTCATGTGAGAAGAAATAGGACTTGCGTCAGTCACGGCAAGAACTATTAATCACATCAACATTATTAATTGTCGATCTTAATAATTTCTTTAAGCATCGTAATTTCGAATGTTTTATCATGTCAACTACAATGAACTTTATTTGAGATAAAGGCATAAAACGACAGAACATTCCTATTACAATTTCTTTATTACATCTTCATCTTCATTATTATAATTTAAATTATTACACATATTCCTGTGTATTATAATGAAAATACGTTTAGCTTCTTCCGACGCTGTCGGTTACACTTGTGCAATTGATTTACTTAAGAAATATCATATTTGTGTTTGCAACGAGAATTTATTACGTCGGGAAAAAACTCCGAGGTCTCCTTTGAAAGTTCGGTTTCTCGTTATTTTTATTTTATCGTCGTTACTTGAAACGACGAGTATTTTGTCGCATGAACGCAGGATCTCGGTTCTTTGCGCATCCGCATACACACAAGTAACCAACCAATTTCCCGTTTTCTTTTCTTTTCTTTTCCTACCCGCTCTGTCTCTCGATCGCTCGTTTGCCCGCTCTCGCTCTTCCTCTTTCATTTCTTCCCTCTAACAACGTCCGTCAAAGACGCGCGAGTCCTTTTTCTCTCCGATCCCCTTAATCGGTGTGTCTTTTCTCGTGGAATTATCCCGTCGCTTCACCTAGGAGCTCCCTATATACCGGATGTGGCCGCGTTTACTGCCTATAATTGCAGTGGAGATGCGGCGCGCCGTCCCGCCCAATTATTTGGAGACAAACACCAATACTATCATCACCAACACTACCATCGTTGCCAGGAAGGAAGGCCCCAAAAACGTCGCGCATAACGTCTCCGTAGATCATGATTGCATACTCGAGATTAAAATACACAATCTGCATGAGACGCTAGAGGTATCAGTGAGTAGTTAAAGGGGGTTGTTAAGACGTCTTGATCTTTTGACTAGCGTGATTAATATTTAGAAATACATTACAGCTAACTATTACGTGCGTATAAAAAAATACGAAGCGTTTTTCGAGAAAACTATACATACAATTGTGTATAATTATATGAAATACAGAACTGTATATATTTTTTTAATCGGTATAGATTAGTGATTAATTCGCTAATGGCTAATTTTATTTACTGATAGTGATCTAGGGGAGAGACAATCGATTTTTTAAGGCTAATGTGTTTAAGGGAAGTCTGTATATTCATGTGCTAACCGGATTTCAAATACTTCCGCCGTTTAGAAGTAGAAAGCTGGGAAGAAAGAATCGTTTTCGACTACTACTGGGCTTCTATGTACCGACCACCGAGTGGCGCGTCATCGGTGCCCTCTAATCTTGTCCCGAACCTTTTTACGGTTTTTCTAGTTTTTGACGTAAACGCCACATTGTGGTGATCAATTAGGAGATCCCCGAATATCAAGACATCCGACACATCTGTGAAATCCACACATAAACCACCAATGCAATAGCGCGCATCTAGCGAGTTGTTGGCTGTAACTTGAATACGAAGAAAAAAGGACTGGAGAAATGAAAAGTTTACTTTCATGGAAATCCAGTTTTAAATGTAACATTGTATTTTGCTTAAACGCATTTTATTTGTTAATAATCATACGTAAAGCTATAATTATTTTCTAATCGATGATAACTGTATATCGCGATATATCGCACAATTGCTCGAGCGAAATACTTTCTTGTAGTATTTGTGCGTATCGCGTGCGTGAATCACCGTGTAATTTCACGAGTCGCGCGCGAAATTATGCAAATTATTGACGTTCACTACCCGATACTCATTGTCCTCAGTTCCGTCCGTTATTGGTGCACACCCTCGAAATTAATCTATGCTCATACACGCTCGGCACGCATGCTGCTGCTTCACCCCATTTCATCTCTCGCGATCGCCGCCGCCGAAGAGGGATAGCTCGTTGAATTAAAAAGTAATCTAATATTAGGCTGGCTCTCTAGTTAGCTAATATTGAAAGAGCAGTACGATGCTTAACAATACATCCTCCTTCTCCCTTTATCGTGGTTCCGCGTTTCATATAATTATACCGTACACACCAGAAAATAATCTTCGCAAAATAGAGAAATTATATTCCGGCTCAAATACTGCTCTATAAATATGTTCTATCATGGAAATACTTGCGATATATTCGGACACGCTGACACAAATGGCATGTGTGACTACAAAATGCAACATATATAATTGTTCCTAACATTATTATCTTGTTCATAACATTATTATCAGATTCGTCTGATTTCGAATAAGTGGCGAGCGATGTAGTAAAGTTACTTGATATCCATTATTCATAATAATTGGAGTCAATCTCTTTACAGTCCAGCAAAATACGCTTAAGTAGAAATTCTCAAGAAAATTTATTCAGTGAGGGAGTAATATAATACATAAAACGAGTCTATAGAAAATATAGGAGCTGTGTTAGTAACACGTCGTTCCTTTTGATCGCTATTCCTAAAACTTTACTGCACGATACATATGCAGTGTGCCATATATATGCACATGCATGCACATGCACACATAGTAGCACGTACAAACGTACACGTGAGATACGTGGAGGAACACGTTTATAAAATCATGAGCAGCGCGCTGCGTGCCATATTTACACCGAGCGTAGGAAATTTATTGTGATTGCGCTTCACAAACGCGCGTAAAGCGCTAGCTATGCTTTTTCCTCGCGCCATCGCATCGCTCGCCGCCGAATGGCAGCTCAATTTCGCGACAGCAACGAGTTGCGCTTATGGAAATTGATAGTTGGGATGAAAAATAAATCGAGCGAACGCGTGCGACGCGCTTGTCCAGATATCCGTATAGGGATATTTCCGACAATGGTAGTTACACTTTGATTCATCAACGGCGTCGATTCTCATTAAGGATACGTCTAAATATGCGAATACACACAAGCGTTATTCCGAGGAGGATAAAAGAATAGCCGGCGATCTGTTGCAACAAGCAAATACTTTTCCACGCTATTTCGGGAGAGAATCCGGCACAGCACATCTGATTGGGTGGCACTTTTTTTTTATCGGCTACAAGAAGGAGACCGGCTAATTTTTCCATAGCTGTCTGTTAAATGCCTCGTGTGCGTTTCCTAAAACACAATGTCGAAGCACCATTCATTTCCTGCCCTACCCGTAAAACAACTCCCTTCGCAGCAGCTATCTTGTGAAGCAGTTTCTCTATTTCCGATCATTTGCGGTTTCACTGCGGTGGCGGGAAGGATCGGAGCCGCGTTAAAATCGAAACCACTCGTTTTTCTCTCTTTTCAATAGACTGCGCCAAATGATGACCTCATCGTGACGTCGGTTCTATTCTCTCGTAGATTATCGACGACGCCGAAGAGTTATTAAAAGTAATCTTATTCTACGAACCGGAGAATGTCAATATGCCGATGCCAGGGTCGGTATT